TGAAAGAGCTTGAAATCTTCCAAAGAAATTTTAGCACTTTTTCTTTCTTAACTTAAATTACTTTAACTTAAAATGCTGTCACTGCAGTGATGAAGAGCTATTGATGGTAAAATGTTCTTGTCTACAGCCATTCCTGTCTTCATCACAACAGTAGTTCTGCAGACACTAATCACGATGCTCTCAAACCAGCTAATGGATGTAAAGAGTTTGATAACATCAATTATCATGCAACAAATCCTGTGCCTTGCCAATCCTCCACCACACTGTTTGCCCTTAGTAGGACAACACCTAATGAGTAGTATCTCACAATTAATGGTTCCATAATCTGGCTCTTTCATGGTAAACAAGTAATTCCTGGTTAGAAACCACATGCAAAATGTAAGCATTAGGGCAATTGCTGCTATTAGTTATTACTGTCTAATTAGTCATTGACAATGTACAGCTTGACAGCAAGTGAACTAATTGTATGGTCTCTTGAAAACAGAAATACTCTATTATTTCAAAAAGTGTGATTTGAATGCAGTAATTTACCATATAGCCTCTCTCCAAACGTGAGTCAGGTTTTATTTATTTCTTGTCTTGTGCATCTGAGCTAATTACCTTGAGGCAGTGGTATAAAAATCAGTTGCTGTGATTCACTTCTTGAAAATGTATTTTGCTTCTTCTTAAAATCTTGGCCTGCTTGACCTCAGCAACCTTCCCCAGTTTGAAAATGCAAGTTATAATCCTCTGTAGGGATTTAGCCAGGTGTCTATTACAGCATGTAATCTGTGATACAGCTTCCAATATTCATGCTAAAGAAGGGTTAAGCCCCTCTGTCTTTGTTCCTGAGTGAAAAAGTCCATGAGGTGTTAGTGTGGACAGGGAACAGATTGAAAGAAGCAACATCTTCAATCAAACCATAAGCCTGTGTGGGTGTCACTGAGGAGCTGTATTGGTGAGAGGCCAGAGGCTTCACCTGAGCAGCAGCACTCGAACTTTAACCCTTGAATGGCAGCTTCAGCTCTGCTGCTGGCTCCTCTGCTGACATTCAAAGGTCATACTACTGCTAGACCTCTGTTTTTAACCAAAATCCTCACTCTAGAGTCACTGTCCCATCAATCACTGAGCTGTTCCTCGGGAGGCAGTGCTGCCCAGCAGGAGCAAAGCCAGCCCCAGCACCCCATCCCAGGCAGGGACACTTGCAGAGCTCCTCAGACACCACTTTGGAAGTTCAAACTGGCTGGCACAAACAGACATTACTCTGCTAAAACAAGCTAAATCCAGATAATTGAGGGGAAATCCTACTGGGACCTGTCAGCCCTACTCTGCTTTTTCCAGCCAGGGCTGAACGTGATCAAATCATGTGATGCAGCCATATGCCTTTGCTGTGCCTGCAAAGTAGGTACCTATTCCTAAAGCCAAAACTTTTAGACTATGTCAGTAGTTTTGGTAATATTTTTAATTCCTTGAGCAGCCAAAACCAAAATAAATAGCAACCTCATTTGCTTACCTGCAAGGAGCTATTAAAATCAGTCTCCAATTACTGTACAGGAAAATAGTGGGTTTCTTCTAGATGGTCATGGTGCTGGGAAAGACTCAGCTACCTTTTATTCTAATTGGCAGTAAAGTGCTTAGAAGTATTTATCAGTTTTTAATTATTTAGAGCTCTCCTAATGGCTTAAATATCAATTTAAAAAGCTGTAAATATTTTCCACCTTGTCCTTCAGAAGAGCTGCTCCTTGGAAGGCTTAAATGAAGATTTATTTATGGCTGCCTGCTAGTCACAAAACTGCAGTTGCTAATGCTCTGGTCCTTTAGCTGTCCCCAGCACAGACTGAGCTTAGTTTTCACAAATCAGGGAAAGTTTTGTATTCTGTTGTATTTTACTGAGACAGAAGTCTTAAAGAGGATTATTATAGAGATCAAGACATTAAAATATGTAACTAATCACATTTAAATTAATTGTTTTCATAATAACATGTACTAGGGGATGTTCATGCAGAGTAATACCCTTTTACACTGTTTTGGTAGTGTTAGTATGACTTACCATGCAAATTACATTTAAAATTATTTAGAAGCAGTTTAAAGCCACGTGGCTGGTAGAGAAAATGGGAACTTGACTCCAAGCCTCTGAAGCAATAATTGTGTTAAATGTTTCAAAATTACGTCAGCAGTTGCCATGTCAGTAGACAGAGGGGAACTTACCTAAGCTCATAATTTCTCTCCTTGTCCCAGTGTTAGAATTCAGGACATTATTTTTATCACCTTTTATCAGCTTAGCTATTTTTCTCCTAATTTTCTCTTTACTTGAACTCCACACAGGTTATTTTGGTGTCATCAAATCATACACCTCTTAAAATGGAACTGTGTACCATAAAATTTAAACAATAATTCCATTTATTTGGGAGGTTATGCATTCACTGTGCCATTCTTTTAGGTAACTTATTGTCACCAGCTCTCATCATCTTACTTCATTCACACTAGCTTGTGTTTTTTTTGGAGGCCCCTCTCCTAGATATTCTCTGATTCTGTTGGCACCTCAGCTTTTGCTAAAAAGCGGAAGATAAAAGGCAAAGGGAGCAGAATAAATCAACTAATATACAGAAAGAAAGACAGCATTCCATACAATCTGGGTTACCCTCTGGAAGTCATAAAACATGCCTCCTCCAGCATCCAGGGACTAGTGGATCAGCGCAGCTTTAGTTTTTAACACGAAGAATCACAACAGACTCAGTGGTTGTTTGTGGAACAGGAAAACAAAGCCATCCCTCAGCAGTGCTCAATGCACCTGTCTGGCTGCACAGGAGCATTTGTTTGCTGGGTTTCGATACCCATGACCTCCCAGTGAAGTTGCTTTTACAAAAGCAAGGGCAGAAGCATGTAGGTTATAGGTACACAGGCAGCTTTATGGCACTGGGTACAAAAGGGACCAGAGTTTTCTAGGAAGCCTCAGACAGGTGTGATTTACGCAGCTCTCAGCATTTTCTGTAAAACTGATATTTACATATAGCCAAAGGCTCTGGAACCTTACAGATTTCACAATATCTTTGTTTTCCCTGAGGAAAAGAAAAGACCTATGTAACTTAGCAAATTCTGGCATTTATATCGGATATATTGAATGGAGCTTAAATATTCAAATATTCGGTGTTTTCTCTATTCTTCTTGAAACTTAGTTTTAATTTTCACTGTTTTATTCAAAAGGAAGGCATAGAAATAGCAACCATGAGCTTGAAATCAGAGCTGTAACAGGGACTTATTATAGACAATATTTTTCAGAGTATTTCCAGTTACAGCTGCATGCTTTGAAGCTGTCAGCAGCATGCTGTTTTTCAAATAACCCTTTTTGCTGTCTTGTAGTTTTCTTTCCTAACTTCTAGTCCCAGTGAATCATTGTCAGTTTTAGCATTCATCTGTATTAACATGAAAGAGAGAGAGAAAGAAAATACTATTTTCCAGCCCAGGCAAGAGGAATTTGCCAGTGGGGAGGGCAAAGTGAGTGCAGAAGTTCTTTTGCTTGTGTTTTGTGCGAGTATGTCAAGGAGCAGAGCAGTGGCTAAGGTGGAAACTGATGTTTGAAACCCATTTCCCACAGTGGATGGCATTGAATTGCTTCATTGCCCTGAGGCTTTGAGATGGAGAGAAGCATAACTGTAATTATAAGAAAAGAAAAGGTTGATCATCATACTGGGGCTTTTTCTGTTTTCAGGGTAGGTGCAGGGAACTCTGATTAATGGCAGTAATAGCTACACTTGTAACCTCATCGAGCTCTGCTAGGTATAGGCACGTGCATATTTTTCCCCAGCAGTGCTGACCATCAGTGAATAGAGGCATGGCTTCTTCCACCATCTGTATGTCAGGCACAGGGAAGGATATAGAGCAGCAGTTACTCTCTGGAACAAACGCAGAATGAACAAGTAGCAAAATACTAATGTACTGCTGAAAGGTGAAATTAGACATACGTGATTCAGTGCAGCCCACGGGGTCTGATATCTTGGCAACTGCTACAAGATATCCCCAATCAGCAGACAAAATAGCTTTTGTGAAGAAGCGGAAGATTGTAGTGTGCAAGTTAATGCATCAAAAGGCCAGAAAGAGAATAATTCACTTTCACCTTGCTACAGAGGACAAGCAGCAATAAAAGCTGTGCTCTATTGGCAAGCTTTTTTTTGTTGCTGTTTTTAACTCAACCCTCAGTTCAGAGCTACAGCCACCTTGGCAATGTTCCAGCTGAAGCTGCTGACATCTCCCACCTAATCAAGTGCTGGATTATCTTGTTCTGATAAATTGAAGCTGGTGCCTCATGAAAAGTGTTTCCTAAAGTACTTCAGTACCCTGTAGTAAGATGGCAGATATCTGAGTCAAGCCCCAGAGCAAACAGAGCACTGTTTTTCTACTGGCTTTTGGTGGCAAGTATAAGACATTTTAAGGCAAGGTGGTGTTGAGCTGGGAGCACAGTTAAATATGATAAATTCCACATCTGGGTGAAAGGAAACTTGAAGGTGTACTGTTTCATACTGTACATACAGGGTGCAGTGCTAACCAGAAAACACTCCTCCTAAACACTTGCCCTAAAAATTACTTCTTTTGTGGGTGGACCTCTGAGGAACATACTTACTTTGAAAAGGAATTCTCTTTGGCTGCTGCACTTTCTAAGAAGAGTTGGAGTTACTGAACTATTAGAGACTTGCATACTATTCTCAGTCTTTTGTGATTCAACCCCTGGTCTGAGCCATTCAGGGTAAATAAGGCTTTTTCTTTTTTTAACGTACACTAAGAAAAATGTCAATATTACAGAAGCAAGGATGCTCTATATGTTTTGTTTGTACATTTACTTTAACAGGTAAACCGGCCAGGATAAATCTCATTAAGATAGAGGTATTACTTGAAAGCATTTGGTTTTTTTTAATTTCTTGGTTTAACTCCTGGAGAAAAAGCAGCAGTTCTCAGTCAAGAAACGTCTTCATGTGTCACAGGCACCTATACTGTGCCTCCTGTAACACTGTTTTGCTCTTTTTCAGGGGAATCCCTACATGTGCAATAATGAATGTGATGCGAGTACCCAAGAACTGGCTCATCCTCCAGAACTGATGTTTGATCTTGAAGGAAGACATCCCTCCACATTTTGGCAGTCCACAACTTGGAAGGATTATCCAAAGCCTCTTCATGTTAATATTACGCTCTCCTGGAACAAAACCATTGAGCTCACAGATAACATAGTTATCACTTTTGAATCTGGCCGTCCAGACCAAATGATCCTGGAGAAATCACTCGACTATGGACGAACATGGCAGCCCTACCAATACTATGCCACGGACTGCTTAGATGCTTTTCACATGGATCCAAAATCAGTGAGGGATTTATCACAGCACACAGTCCTAGAAATCATTTGCACAGAGGAATATTCTACTGGGTACATGACAAATAGTAAAATAATCCACTTTGAAATTAAAGATAGATTTGCTTTTTTTGCTGGACCTCGGCTTCATAACATGGCTTCTCTCTATGGCCAGCTTGACACAACCAAGAAGTTAAGAGATTTCTTTACCATCACGGATCTGAGGATAAGACTGCTTAGACCAGCAACGGGTGAAATATATGTAGATGAGCAACACCTGGCACGCTACTTTTATGCAATTTCTGACATAAGGGTATATGGAAGGTAAGTGAATATATAACTTCAGAAACAAGCATGTGTGTTTGATTTTAGAAGTTAGTCAAAACTGTTTATTTCCCTAAACATGATGACATTTTCATATGTTGGCTCAGGAATTCACCCTGGCATTGGGGCACTTTCTTCTTTTGTGTAGTTGGAGCCTGCTCTGATAGCATTTAACTAAACCCAGAAATTCTGTTTTATCATTTGACTTTTCCAGGCCTTTAATGTAAGCTGTGATTGATACAGCAGCCTTTGCATGAACCCTTCCCACTAGGTCCAGCTGTGAACAAGGAGGGCAGCGGAGAGTAGAGTCCATTCCTTGTACTTTAATTAGCTCTGAAATGCAGTGAAGCTGATTTAAAATGGAAAAAAACCAACAGTGTTTTAGAGAGACTGATTTGAATATAACAAAGATGATTATTCAGCTGGTTTCAAGACAAAGGTTCCCTCTAGGGCAAGCAGTGGCCGGTATCAGGTGCTATAGTCCCAAAAATAATAACTCTGTGATGACATTCCTATTGGGAATTTGTCTTCCCAACTCAAACTAGCAATTGACTGATGCCCTCAAGCAGGAGGGTGATCCTTTTACATGTGTCTTGGATGTCAGTTTGTTCCAAAGAAATAAATGGGATCATCTCTATTAGCAATTCACTCACCTCTCTAATATACCTTATCTTTCTCCTCTGTTTCTTCTGTAGAGAGTTGAAGTCTTCCAATTTAAAAATCTTCTTTCTTTTTTTTTTTTAGAGAAGCTAAGTATCAAAACAAATGGAAAAGCTAAAGCATCTTGGAAGGCCAGGGACTCTTTTTGCAGACACAGAACTGAGTGAAAAAAAAATAGCTACTGTGATTATATGCAACACTGGTGACTATATTTTTATTATTCCTGTGGTGGAAATCAAAATCATCAAAATACATTTCTTAGGACTATACATTTAGTGTGTAGTTACAGTCATCTCTGTCCACACCAAATACATACTCATGCATGAGGAATCACTAATGTAACATTAGAAAGTGTAAGACAAATGTTGCTGTTTAAAGAATTCTTGTTGTAATACTCATTAGTTACATTGTAAATTAGTTTTCAAAAGTCTTTTGGGAGGACTACAGGGATCATGAACAGCTTAAGACAGGCTTTGAATTAGTTTGATAAAATTAGCCTCAGTGTATAAAAAAAATAACACCTATGTTCTATTTAATGTATATTCTTTCTCCATTGGGTTCCACATAGGTTAGCTCTATGAGGCATCATATCAAAGCTCAGGATTTGAAGATCCTTAGGCTTTAAGGAAAGCCTGCTCCCCATCTGAAAACCCATTTGGAGCTTAGTCTGATTTCAATTAGACTATCAGTACTTTATCAAAGAAAGCATCTGAAGGATTAAAAAAGAGTGCATTGCATGCAAATTAGAAACAGAAACCTTCTAAGAACATCTGGGGCTCAGCAGTCTTGTGAAAAATTATCTACAGAAATGAAGCGTGACTGTACAGAGAACTTATCTGATGCTGATGCTTGTTGTCTAAATGCTGCAGTAATTGGACACATGCTTTAAAAGAAATATCTGATATGTAATAGTACCTCACTAGATTAGATTCATGTGAATTCTTATCACCATTCTGCTAATGAGAAGAACCAGCTCTTTAGGGATTTGGTGCCGTTTCCTTCAGTATCTTGTGAACCCTCCTTGTTAAAGACTTCAGGGCTTGCTTACTGCTAAGTAGCTGTGGGGCTGCAATACACACCTCCTGGTTGTTAAGGTGCACCAAATGTAACTTGCAGAAAGCCCACTGTCACCTGGTTTTAGGTATTTTTTTGTCTCCACCAGAAACCTTATAGCCCCCTCCAGAGTCTCCCAATCAGCATTCCAGGCATGTGCCCTGGCGCGCACTGAGCGTGGTAACTGGTGGAAGGAACCGAGGGTTACCAGGGTGGTTGTGCCACTGTTTCTGATTCAGATGAGCTTTCCAGTTGTTCCAGCTTAATTTAGGATGTTAACTGGAAAGTAAGTTACAAATGTATTTTATTTTGCTGCAGTGTTTCATATCATGGGCTTTCAGACCCAGATATTTGTATACATTTGGTAAAGGTAGCTTAGACTATTCCATGAAGATGGGATACAAAGGGACATTGCCAACGAACTTGACATGTAGGGAATGCTAGCAGACACCCTTTTTTTCTGAAAAACATAACCTGTAGGTTAAGTATAGTTAAAATCACCAAATTTCATAATAGTACATTTCTAAAGGCAGCTTAAAATATAATTTGTTTCATAATGTGTTTTAAGGAACAATGACAGTGAAAAGCATCTATCTTAAAACCACCGTGTTAAATATACAGGATACTGGGGTGGTTAATACTTCACAATGAATTATTGATAGGAGATTTGCCCACCTAATATAGGGTTTGTTTTGTCAGTGGTTTGCATTTTGGTGTGAAATAAGGCTGATGTATGTTGCATTAGAGATGAAAACCTGTGTACTCTCAATGAGTGCCTTCCCTCCTCTATTACCACCTGTTTATTCATCTTCAATTTACCACTTCCATTGTGTATTTATTAAGGTGATGAAGAAAGGAAACATGGCTGTTAGCAATTTCAGCAACCCCATTGTGCTCACATTATTCAAGAAACCTAATAATCCACATGAACTAATTCTGAATTACTGATGGTCTGCTTCACTAAATCAGGGTGATTTTTTTCTAGTGAATAATGGACGTTGTAGTGTGCCAGTACCTTAATTAAAGGGACCCTCTCTTAGTCTTGATCTTATTTTAATTTACAGGGTAATACTACAATAATATCACTAATGGAAGGTACATTAAAGGGCATAAAGTAGCATTAACTGTATTAAATTATGGCACTTGTGTTAATTAACTGCTGAAGCAAGATGGTCCAACGACTAGAAAGGTCAACTAATGCATAAATAAAGTCTTCTGGGATGGGAAGCTAAGAAAGAGCAGACATTTTTCCCCTGGTCTGGCCTTGCTGCGGAGGATCCTGTGCAGTAACCTCGGGAAGGTTTCTCTCACTTTGCTGCCTGCAAAGGTGGCCTGAGCTGTCTGCAGGCTCTGCCTGTCTCTGACTCCTTGTGAAGGACAGTCCTGGCAGTAAGCCATGAGGTACAGCTCCCACTTTTAAACATTTCTTTTTGCAGAAGAAGTTCACTAAAATGCTGATAATAATTCCTTTGAAGTCAAGCAAAAGGTTCCTAGCAGATTTTGGATCAGACTGCTAAAGGTTTAACAATGTTCATTTTAAAGTATTTTTGCTCTAACTGTTATATTTTTAGTGACAGGTACATTTATACACTGTAAATTAACTGTAATTTGGGATGCTAGTAAAAAAAAACATTGTCCCAGTGGGTAACAGAATGAGTAGCTGGCTAAAACAAAGGCTTTTATTGCTTTTGAATGATTATGTTTTGATCTAAGAGCCACCAGTTTCTTTCTGACACCAGAATATCCAGCCTCTGTACAATGTTATTAAGCCCTTTGGAATTTATTTTTATACTCGTCTCGCCTTGAAGCTTCTGTATTTAAGCTCCAGGGTTTTCTGACCCCATCTCAGCTACTATTGCTGTTCCAGAAGCAAAAGAAACCTCTAACTCACAGTACACAAATGAAAAGTAACCTCAATTTTAACACTTTCTTGCTCTCACATTATCGCTTCTAAATTTAAATCCATCTCAGTATCTGAATAAATTTCTCCAAAGGAAGGTATATTTTCTACTTAGGAGTTTGGAGCTTTTCTGTCTTCTTAGTCAGCCTGCCCCTCCTGCCAGTTGTGACCCTGAACCGCTCAGTGAGGCTTGTGGTGGATTTGGGGTGGGTGAGTGCCCTTCCCCTGAGTGGGGGGCTCTCACTGCCACCTTCTGCAGGTCCCACCAGGGACTCTGGGCTCTACTGGGTTTCATCCTCTTGCTCATTCTGCACATCCAGTCTAGGGATGGATTAATTGGATTAAAACTGCATGTTTCTCTGTCATACACTTGGCATAATATCCCTCTAATTTACCCAAAAACAGGCTTTTTCCCTAGGGAAGTGATAATAGACAGAAATACTGTCATTTTATTTATAATACAAAATGTTTTCTTTGGTGTTCAGCTCAGAACCAGACCATCAATATTAAGATACATAGGCTTCAAGCTTTTAAGGAGACAACTGAATACCATTCTTGCTTCTAATATTTATTTACTGTACTTGAATAGTCTTTGTTTTACAGGAACACTTGCATAAGCAGCTTGTTCTCCTTTGAGATTTCTACTAGTATTTGGAGGGAATCTAGCAGTTTCTCTGATTAAATTATGAACTCATTAGAGAACAGGAAAGAAAAAGAAATGTATGCTTTTAAGAGTGTGTCAATTTATCTTTAACTCCCAAGTGCAATTTGCTTTTTTTAATATATCTACTGTCATATGTCACTAAGGAAAATGGTCCATCATTTTCTGTAAACAAATCTAGGATCATCAGGAATTGCAATAATTAAATGGTCACAGGGTGTATTCACACAGTCTCCAGTGGTTTACTCAATACAGGTGTCCTGGATGGGTTTTACTCCTGCCTGTGTTCAGATAATACTGCTTTTCACCTCCATCCCAGAGACACAAGTCCTGTCCATCAGCTCACTGTGGTCTGTCATAGTGACTGGAAGGGGAGCAGAGCAGTGGAGCCTGAATGCTGCCCAGGACTCTCATTCTGCTATATGCTTTTATAAATAGTGGGTTTAAATCACCAAGTTTCACTCCCCACCTTTGCTCACTAGCATTTGATCATCTTTTCTTGGCTCGTTTTGCAAGATGTCAAGTATTTCCATACTGATTTCCCCCAGCTGTCTTTCAAGGAAGCTCAGTATCATGAAGGATCGGGGTGTTTGAGGAGATGCACCGAGCCTTTTTGTAGTATAATTCATTTTGCCATTGAATATTAAAGGAACAGAGATAAAACTCCTGATGAAAGAAATGAGAATTTTTTCTTTCTGTGTTGCTTTGTATGCAGAAAAGCTATCC